GTTGTTCTCACTACAATGTTGAAAAATGATAGGCATATTAACCGCATTTTTAGCATCCATACTCAGTTGAACCTTACTTATTGGAGCACTTTGCCTTGGACTGAATTACATTGAAGATAATTGATCCTATAATGTTATGGAAAATGGACAATAATATTTTCTATAATCCAGGATATATATAATATAATATAGATTTGATAGTATTGTCAATACAGTCACACTTATTAGTGTCTCCTTAAATGAAAGCATGATAAATATACAGCCATTAAATAAAATTGAATTTCTGTTTGTATTATAGTATTAGTTTATAGTTGTATTGATTTCAGCGTACATGTGTATACAAACAATGCTGCCTTGCCTGAAGGAAAATTAATTTTGCACCGCCTGGTAGCTTTCTTTGTCATAGAATAAGCTGTGTCAACAAAGAAGGCATACAATATGGTTCTGACAGTTATGTAGCGCGTTTCTCTTCGTATTTTCTGAAAAGCGGCTGCAGTGGTTATTTATTGTTGCTACATTTTTCGTATCTTGACTGTTTTTGAATATCCAGAATTTCTATTCTTAAACTTTTGTTTAAATGGATGGCGAAAATAATAAGAGGCATTAAAGTCATTTGCCTTAAAGCCCAACAAGTTTCCCTTGGTGTCCTTCAAAAATCCCTATATGATCCATACTGTACACAATATGCTAAGGTAGTTTGGTTGAATTTAAAAAAAAAAGTTGTTCCTGAGTCTGATTACTATTGTTGAATGTTCACAAATTAAATGTCTTGATGCTGCCACTCAAAGATGTCTTATAATCCAAATCTGAAATTCAGATATTTATAAATAAAAAACTGTTCCCATATACTAGTATTACATAACATTATCATAATCTTTCAAAGGCAACCCAAATGTGCGTGTACTGTATACAGAACTTACTTTTTTAGCCCCGCTGTCGACTTGTCGAGCGGAGCTTATCATATGAGTGATTGTCCGGCGTTCGTGTCAATGTTTTACTTTTTCGACTTCTTCTTGAAAACTACAAGCCTGAATGCTTTGATACTTGGTGTATATGTACCTTGGGTAGACCTCTCTTAGGTTTGTTCATTTCATGATCATATCTTTAATTCTCTAATTTTGGTGAATATTTGTCATTTTTGGTAAAAAGTGATATTTTTGACTTCTTGTTAAAAACGACAAGTCTAATTGCTTTAATATTACAGTCAAACCTGTGTTAACGACCACCTGTGCAGTGCGA